GACAGATTACACAGGTGTCGGATTAGACAGTTTTCACTGTATATGTAAAATCCTTGTCATGTCACATTTCCAGAATCCCTCTTGCCAAAAACTTGCCCAGCAGCTGGTCTCTGAATGTTTTATTGAATGAGGAGAGTTATCCATTACAAGTCAGCCTGGCTGGAAATGAGGTCACGGTGAGTATTTTATAAGAATGCACTGTATTTATAATCAAGTATAGGGATATTTTGGCCATAGAAAGTTTATTGAATTTCCCAAAAAAGTTGGCTATTGTAAAGCTGTACCTGGATATGTCCTCTTGATAAAGACATGCTGTTTGTGATGGATGTTTATACTTATTCAATTAAGGTTGTGGCTCAAGATAAAACAATGACTATCCCATTTGACATTGATGTCTCCTCACCCCTCATCAAGATGGCTATCAATGGAGAGAGTAAACTTTTCCAGGTGAGTTATTTAGGCTTATACAGGCATTGATAATAAGCAAATTTTAAAGGAATAGAAAGGAGGAATAAAAATGTTTTTCTAAATTTCAGAAAGAGCATTCATTGTGTATGTTTACTTGAATACAGTCTTTTATTCAAAACTTTCTTTGCAGTTATCAAAGAGAATTGGAGCAGGACTATACAAACTTAGATTTTTTGGAACAGTGGTATGTATCAAAATAAACTGCCAAAGAAAAACTGTAAACAAATATAATTAATATAATGGACATTGTATGACTGTAAAGCCTCTCTGTCAGTCCGAGTCCCATGAAAAATGAACATGATCAAGGATATACAGGTTGTTGCTATTTGCGTTTACAGTACCAGCTGAAGGTCCTGGAGGAGTTTGCTAGTCAGATGTCTAAACTGATGCCTGTCAAACAGGAAGTGGACATGTCCTCACTAGTCCTCGCCCCCATGCCAGGGGTCCTCAAATCTGTAGACGTTAAACCAGGGGATATGGTATGTTATTTACTTCACTGAGTTATATCAAGAATACATCATTCTTTGAAATTTTAAAGATACCAATAAGGTATTACTTCTTTATCCCATCCTAATGAAATTGGAGGGCATATACATTGTAGTAATACCTTTGTGAGTGTGTATGGGTGAGTGAGTTTGTGCATAATGAAAGGAATAGTTAACATTGGGACCATGTGCTTTTTTGCAAGGGGATACTCTTCTTTGTAGTGCTCTTGATGAACAACATGAACTTGTATTGTAAAAAAAAGACTACAAGTCCCTAGTTTTTGGATTTTTGAGATTTGATATTTTTGCTTCAGGTGGCTGAGGGCCAGGAAGTGTGTGTACTGGAAGCCATGAAGATGCAGAACAGTCTGACATCAGCCAGGATTGCTAAAGTAAGTCATTATCATTGCTACAAATTACTGTAGAAGCACAAATTTTTGTGGGGATAAAATTTCCTTGATTTGTCATCAAAAGAAGTTTCATGGACATTTAATTTCTCTATTTTGAAAGTAACCCTATTCAATATATAGTCATATAATTGTTTATGCCCCCAGAGGACCCTTGATTGGTGAATAAATAAATAAAATATAGTCATATAAAATTTTGTCTGGGATTTAATTTCGTTGATAATTATTGACAACAACATAAACGAAATTTAATCCCCAGCAAATATTTGTGCTTTTACAGTAGAATTTCCATATACAGCTGAGCTTCAATATCATGAACACCCATTTCTTCAATACAATGGATATTTCAAAATGATTTAAAGAATTTTAACCTCAATATCTCCATGTCCTTGGCTATCTCAAAGTTTATCCTGGTGTCATTGAGTTGGAGATAACAAGGTTCGCCTGCATATATTTCTCTCTCAAATGTTTAAAATAACGACTTATAAATATAAGTTAACACAACGTGGAGAAAGTTTTAAATTGTTTGTAATTAATTTTAGGTAAAGAAAGTGAATTATAAACAAGGTCAAACAGTGGATGAAGGTGATGTTATTGTGGAGTTTGAATGAGAAGACATTATAAAAACAGAATGAATATGAGGAAAAAAATGATACTCCAAGGAAATCTTGTGCTGCCATTTATTAGTGCTTGAAGAACAGTGTTCCACCATCTGTCTTCACTAACTTAACCTACTGCTTTATTTATACTCACTTTGCAACAGTCCAGGTTGATTATAAAATTGTATAAAGAAGTATTAGATGTAAGAGGTGCCTTTACTTAACATCAGCATGATTTACAGTATAAAAGTTTTTTAAGGACTTCTTTAAATACCTGCATAATTTCAAAGTATTAATTGATTATTTTGCAAAATCAGTTGTGAGATTTGTGAAATTTTGAGGGCATTTGTTTACCCGGGTATTTCATTTTTGTCTAATCAGTACAGTATTAGATTAATCACTAGGACATTTTATTGGAACAGCGAAAAATCCCTATGCATAGTTCAGCTAATAGATCATTGATCAGGGGAAGTGAATGTACTACAAACAAGTATTTTCCTGTTTAAGCCTTTTGAACATGACAAGAATACCTCTGGAATTATCTCCTCACCTTCTGTGTTGTGATAATATTTAAAATCAATCTTTTTCTATTGTTGTAATTAGAAGATTTAATATACATGTATTTTATGTATCTTTGATATAATTTTGTTTTGTTTTTTATTAAACTGTGATGGATGACATAAAATAGATATTGAAATCGTAATGTTTTGTCAAAACCTTCAGCTTGATATGCATATGCTTGCATTTACAAGTACATTTTGTAATAATATCACATAATTTTAAAAATTATATTAAGTAAAAATAAGTGGAAAATTTGACATAAGCTAGCTCCAGAGAACTGAATTTTTTTAAAATGAAAAATTTGAGATGCTTGGTGAATGAATTTTTTATTACATTCATATACAGTAGGGATGTCAAAATTGCCAATAAATGATATTCGAATATTCGATAGGAGTATTCGAATATATTCGAATATTCGATAAATTAAATGCATTTTGCATTATTAAATATATATCTTCACTCTCCTGTCAAGCAGTATATGTTTTATGCCATTATTTTAGAATGAAAACTCCTGTAGAGTTCGGAAAGTGCACTATACATATATATATATTTAAAAATTATTGAATAGTATACATCCAAAACGTAATGATTGATTTTTGAAAATTCACAAGATTCTTTAATTAATTAATCGTCTTACTAAAGTCTACCCTGATACCTCCTACAAATTTATACCAAGCAGAACAATTATCTAACGGTGAAATATTAAAAGCAATTACTTTTTGCTAATTATAATTTCCTGATAATGATTTTAATGATATTTATATAAACAAGAAGTCTGTGTGTTTACTGTAAAACTGGGTCCTTACAACAATACAAGCTGATTGTTAATACTGGAAACTATTATACTACTAATTAAGTGAACAAATAAATAATTAACTCTAATAGATACACTCTTCACATTTTTAAGGTAATGCAAGAGGGGTCTTTTTTTATTTTATAAAAACTTGATTCAATTTCTAATAAAACTTGCCGGGTTTTTCTCTCTTTTTAATTCTTGTATACTTAAAAACGAATATTCGAATCACAAATTTATATTCGAATATCAACTCATCGAATGAATATTCGAATATTCGTTGACATCCCTAATATACAGTAAAACTCGGTTATAGCAAAGTCCTCGGGACCTGTGAATTTAATTTCGCTATATCTGTAATTCATTATATCCATATAATGTATTCGTATAATCATTATAGCAAATTCGCAATATGCATGTTTTCCTTAAGGTATTACTACAAAATATGTTCGGGAAGCAAATATTACAAAACATATCTTCGATAACTAATGTTTTATTATGAATTGAATTTTATATACAAATGCTAGAAGGAAATAAAGTCAGTTCAATTTATCAATTTTTTTATAATCTTGGAAAGTTCGTTATAAAAGATGTAAATTTCATTACATTTAACCTCAACGGGACTCAAAATTAGTTCGCAGTATCCGTAAATTCGTTGTATCAGAGTTCGTTATAACCGTAAATTTTTACAAAGATTTGTTAACAATTCTGCTGGGGACCCAGGAAACCTTCGCTATATCCGTGAATTCGCTATATTCGTGTTCGTACTAAACGAGTTTTACTGTACATGTATCTTTAAGAATGTTGTGTATAATTCTATTCATATTCCAAAAGAAATGTTTTAATAGTATCAAAGAAATAAAGTGAAGAAAAAAGGTTCTCAACAAGCACTCTATATAAGAGTATTTATGAAAACTGATGCATAATACTTGTATAAGTTTTAATCAGAGTTTCAGAATTGTCCTGAAATGAAAAAAGTATTTGATATTCATACACTTACATTATGAAATTTATCTGATAATGTAAATACCAAATGCTCTGTAATAATAATGTGCATTTAATATGTAGAAAGTTAAGGAGGGCGTATTGCCTGTAAGGTTTTCACTTATGTTATTTCATGAAAGAGTACTCCAAGTGGACATTATTACAGTGCAGTACATGTATGCTTATAGCAAAGTGACAATGATGGACAATTATGCGATTATGTAAATTTACTGTAGGGGTCATACATGTAATCCAGCGGAATCACTATTTCTCTTTATTCTGCAGTAGTTTTACAGTAATTTTTTATATTCAAAAAGAGATAAATAATTTGAAAGCCACTTGGTATGATAATGTTTTCTTTGTAAGTATCAGGTTATTATAAGCATGATGGCTATTTGCTTCACCATTTTAAAATACTTGCAATATACAATGTGTACAAATGCTCTAGCATCCTAAAGTATTTAATCAAGGAATTCTGTATTTTGCTGGTTGTAAGACCATTTCGTGAGATGAAAGAAGTTTACTGATGTAATCCTGTGATAAGGGTACATTCTGATTTGTTGTGGAATGTATTGCAAACGCAGTCAATTGTAGCTTTTAGATTTCCCAGTATATATTGTATTATTTTACAGTTTTATTGAATAAATTGAAAAAAATTAAATTAAATTATTTCATTCAGTCAAATTTTACTTTAATTGTTTTGCCTTATTCACTTTATTGTACAATTTAGATACATGGCAATAACGAACATTATTCAAACTCAAAAGTCCATTAAACAATACAAAACTGAAGCAGAGCAAACACGGACCTCTAAAATATCAGAGGTTAGATCAGGGGCCATGGAGAAGTGAGCATCTCCTGCTCACCGGTCAAACCCGCCGTGTGCTCCTTGTCATGATCGGGAAATATCGGGAAAATCCGTTGACAATTCAGTGAGTAAATAATAGCCTAACAATAAGTATGAAAAACGTAAGTCAGCATTTCATTTGATAAATTGTATTTGATGACAAGGTCATTGTATCGACCCTAATACTTAAGAAATGATGACTTTAAACGAGACTGCTGATATTCTTATTTCATCAACTTGTTTGTCAATATTGTACCTTGTTTTAGAAATTTTTATACGTCGAGCCTGATCTTGCGTATCGAATTAACAGAGATATATTAAAACTCTGCATATGCAGTTGATGAAGGTATATTGCTGCACAAGTAAGGGAAGTTGACGATTGAAAAGTTAAATTCATCACGTTTATCATAGAGTTCTGTTGTTAGATAACCATTAACATAATTTTCAAGTAAAATGAAACTCTGGTATCTTTTATTTCAAGCTCACAGGGAAATCAGAACAACATAAGAATGGAATGGAAATAACCATAATTGATTAATTGTTGATTGTCAATGGGTCGTCGATATATCTAAATGTCAAGTTGAAGGCCACAGTAAGAGTTTTTTTTCTCTTTTCAAGTATAAGATTTTGCACAAATTCTGCTTTGTATGAAAACAAAAATAGGACTGCTATGAGGCACAATTGTAGCCCATGGGAATTCCAATAGATAGTTGGATTGTATATTGTTAACGTCCAGGGCTCTTGAATTTTTCACTCATATGGAGACGCCACCACATGCCGGTGGAGAACTGCAAATTTTGTCCTATACTCGGCACTCAGGGCTATTGAGCAGTGACTGTGGGGATCTTTTTCTTGCCAGCACCTAATGCGACACAGGACCTCGTTTTATACGTTCTCACCTGAAGGACCGGCCTCCACGTCTGACCTGGTCTTCCCCCCAATAAAAAAAAAATCAGAAACTCAAGCATCTCTTTGATATCAACTTCAATGTACTTGTGTGTACAATCAGATTGCTTTTTAACAAAGTAATTTATAAATGACCAATGGCAAGGTAATTAAATTTACGAGTTCCATTTTTATTGAAAATTTAAAGCAGCTGTTAATGATATCAAAATGCCTGGCTTTCAGCTCCGCCCCTGGCTAGCAGTTCGCTGCGAAAGAGTAAGCAAAATACAAGTATGCAAGTCTTCTCTGCCAGGTACAGCCTCTTCACAGTTAGACATATGTGGGATCCTCCTCGGGGTAGCGGATGGAAATTGGGTACATAACGGCCCCAAGCAGAACCACACGATTTTGGAGGAGTCTTAGGTCCCTCAATGCACGGCATGCATGGCCCACCGGGGGTGTGCGTTGATATTCCCTGTTGTTCTTTTCCTTCCATTCAACTTTTTTTTATTTGATAGAGATCTCCCATTCCTTGTTCAGAAGCAGCTTTCCCAGCTTCTCTTGCTATATTTTCTATAAAGCTTTTCTGATCTGTCTTTGTTACTTTCTTTACATCTCTATTAGAATTGGAAGTTTGTTCTCTTAGTCTCTCTTTTATTCTCTCTGATTGGGCGTTACATAAATGAGTTTAAAGGTCTTTCCTTTTATCAATGATTTTCCAAGTATCTGGTGTAATCCATTCCTTATGCACCTGCCTTTTAAACCTTAGAGTCTTCTTGTTTGTTCACGGAACAAGCTGCAAATTTACCACAGTGCTCGTCAACTACTTCCTCATTCTTAACATCACCACATTGCAAAACCTGAAATCTGTTCTTGAGCACTTTAACGTAAAACCTTTGCTTCACTTTGTTTTTCCCTTAGCTTGCCTGTGTCTATTCGCCTAATGTTGCTTTTTGGCGCTATTTCCATCAGCTTGAGCTTTATGCTGGCAGTAACATTAAGGTGCATGTTGATCACTTCCAACATCAGCCCCACGCTTCACTCTCATATCCTTTAAAGATCTTTTCCATTTTCCATTGATGGCAATGTGGTCAATTTGGTTTTTATCTCTCCCTCCAGGTGACACCCATGTGAGTTTGTGTATCTCCTGATGCTGGAGCAGTGTTCCACCAATGACCTTGTTGTTTCCACAAATTTCCGTGAAGTATTTGCTATTCTCATTTATACTTCTACAGCCATGCCTCCCCATAACTATTTTGAAACCAACATAAATTATCGTTTCCAACTTTCGCATTGAGATCTCTCATGATGATCGACAGATCTTGCTTTGGAACTTATTGAAATTCGGCCTGTAGAGCCACATAGATATATTCTTCTTTAATCTCACCTTCTCCTCATTTGTAGGGGCATAAACCTGTATTATGGACGTCTGTACAAGTTTTGTTATCAGTCTTACTCTGATGATTCATTATAGGGTGATATTTTATTAATGTTTTTGCTGCTGTTTTACTTAGGATGATTGCAACTCCCTCATGGTGTTGATTGTCCCTTCTTCCAGAGTACAAAGAAACCTCTCCTGTATTGGCAATATTCTTCGCATAATCCGTCCATCTACACTCGCTTATGCCTTGTACATGAAGCTTGTTTTCCTTCATCGCTCTCAGAACTTGAGCCTGTTTACCTGTTTCATAGATGGTTTGAACGTTCTAAAAACCGACTCTCATTTTTAGTTCGTGTGTTTAGTATACTTCTCATGTTGAAACCTTTCTGTCGGCTTTCGCTCTTC